TAAATGATCTTCCCGAGCCGCCTTTTGGTTTTCAGCTCGGAATGCTGCTTTGTCCTAACTTTTTCCTAGGTTACTTGAGGTGTGTTCCCTAGCGGACCTTTTCTTTTTTGATCCATGATTTACCCTTTTTGTTTGTGGATCTCCTAGTGGACCTTGCCCTAATCTTTGCATTGCCTTCTCAATGGGTTTCTTGTGGGGCTTTTGTCTTTGTAGCATTTGTGATCATCTTTCATTCCTTCATTAAAAGGGGGTGCCCCTTGCACTGATTTCATTTGGACTTTTATTCACAAGTCATACCGAATTTGATTGATCTTTATGTTTATTTTTATTGCATATTAAGCCATTATTTCTAATGATGTTCTTATTTCAAATGTACTTGTTCATTTAAGGTTTGCTAACGAGGCTTAGAGTAGATAAAATGGTGAAGAGAAATGAAGTAGAAAAGTGTATGGCATTAAAATAGAATTTTCAATTTACACGTGCCCATTTAATGTAGCTCGAGGGCCTAGGCATGCCCCGAGTTCGTGATTCATACACTGAGAAGTAGAGGGAGGTTGCCCCTTAGAGAGGCCTAGTTTGTCAGACTGTAGGGCTAGTCCTACACTTGCTTGGATGTGGCACTTCAGAAGATCTCGTGTAGAGGGAGGTCCTTTGGCTTCTTTTCTCATGAAGGTGTTGCCAACCCATTTCTTGAGACTTTCCTAAGAAGTAGGAATGGGTGGAAGCGATGATAGAGTGATTGGTGTTGTACCCGATCAGGTAAAATACGAAATTTGTATTACTATTAATTAACTCCTAGGTCGTCTCTCAAGGAGCAACAATACCAATCCGAGGTTCATGAAATACAAACAAACACATAGTATAGGGGGTTTTTTAGATTCAAATGAACAATACGTCAACAGTAATAAATAAAATAGTACACTTTCCAACTCAGTTATCACACACACATCATTGGTTCAAAATATTATCTTCAGTCGTTTTAACCCTTGGTTCAATTTCTAGTAATCACTAAACGTCATTACTCTTCTTTTAAATGCATACAAATGAAGCATTAGCATACATTCACTTCTTTGTTTCACAGGATTAAGCAAACTATGAACAGAACATTCAACCGAGATGAACAAATACCATTAAGCATGGAAAATAGAAGAGTTAGAACATGAAGATGCAGTGAAATAAACAGACCTCAATGAGCACTAAACTAAGTCAGAAAGTGTTATAAGTTTAGCCTTCCATGGAGGAAGACAAAGAATAAAACGAGAAACTCAAAGGAAGAAAATGAAGGGGTTCAGTTTCTTAATACACCCAGAGAAGAAAGAATGGAAGAAAAACATGATGAACAGCTCCAGAACAATGAAAACGTCCAGAAGGAAGAGGAAAACGTGGTCACATCAAGTCTGCCTCCCAGTTCAAAAGTGGTGGCTACATGGTCAGCCCTAAGACCTAAAAGACACATGGTCAAAACCCTAAAACGAAGTGAGCCTCCTTCCCATCTGTCTAGCCCAAAAAAAGACTAAAACAAGGTAAACAAAAATGTAAGTATGTAGCTGATGTGGCGCTGATATGGCAATTTGGTGCTGACATGGCGCTTACGTGGCACTTTATTTCTTGAAGTCCAAAAATAATATCCAAGCCCGAGAATGTTCCACAACTAACCTAAAAATAATTGATAAGAAAAAATTAGACCAAGTGAATTAGAATTAATTAAAATTCGAATTATTGGCTCAATGAAGCCCAAATAGTGAAAATGTACAATTAATAAGCGATTAAGCCCAAATCAACAATTAAAATAAGTTCCAAAAAGATAAATAAATAAGGGAAAATAATGACTCATCATAGAGCTTTCTATGGAGTTTTGCTTCTAAAGAGGAACATTCAAGCTGTCTCTCGATTTTTAGCTCGAACAAACATCGCTCCTTTTTTTTTGCCTAGAACGCCCTTTGCGGGTTTTCATTCTAGCAGCTTCTTAACAAGCAATATTTCTCTCTTGTTGAAATCACTTTTCGAGAAAGCTCTATTCACTTTGCCTTAGTGTGTGAGGGATTCATCCTCCTCAGGTTCTCTTTATTGGCTTGCAACTCGTTAGGAGTGTGGATCCATCCATTCCTAGTTGTTTCTCCTATTCTGCTTGGATTTCACGGTTGCGCGACACAGCTTTATCTTCTTGGGGCAAGAGTTGGTGTCTTAATGATTTACCCTAGACTCTTTATGCATGGCTTACTTCCATTACTTCCGACTAACGCACATAGCTTAATTTCCCTTTTTATTCTCATTTATTCTTTTACAATGAGGGATATGTTCTAAATGAATGTAATGTAGAATGTTGAGAAAGTTGAGAATAATAAATAGCAGTCTCATTGATTTGTTTATCTATGAATGCTCAAACAAATTGACAGTATTAAGTGAGAATCTGTATTAGATTCTAAGAAGACTTACTTTAACAAACATATCAAAGCAAGGGCCCAACCATAGTATTTTTTAAAAAAATTGATTTGGGTTTTTCTTTAGAACGCAGATACTGTCGTATATTAGAGCATTCATTTTTCTTAACTTTCTATACGTACTGCAACCTAATCCTCCTTAGCTAATAAAATAAAATGAATGAAATTAATGAGCTAATCTAGAATGCATGTCATTCTTTTTTTGCTTAATCTTTATCATGTTTCTATTATGTAAAGGGGAATGATGCATGGAGATGAGATTTCTCTTACTCATTTTTTTTTTACAAAAAAGAAACTACCTATATGATGTTAATGGAATATTGACCTAAGAATGAACAAAGGGCTATAAAATTTTTATGATTATTTTTTTATTTTTTATTATCTGTTTGCTTATTTTAAAATTTCAATCCATCTTATTAGAACAAAATAATACAAACAAATGCACACACACATGCTCAATCAACGTACACCCACGAACGATCGTGTTTAAATCCTTGGTCTGTGGTCCTTGTCAACAAAAGTGCGTTGTATAAGACGGTTCTAATCTCACTAGTCTTTAAGGCCCCCAAGGTGCCCCTATTATAGGGACCCAGTATCTCTGTCACTGTCACCTGGCAAACTCTAAGGTCTGTCGCAGTATTTCGGGCTAGAGTAACCGGTTATCACCTTGAGTGTGATTTCTGACAAGGCTCGTAGGCTCCAAGGCCAAACTTGGGCCGGTCGTACATCAATCACTCCCTATGTTTAATACTCTCATGCCCCCGGGTGTAGGGGGAACTATTATGTGCAAAGGTTTGTGTAAAATTTTTATTCAAACAAATGCAGAATTTAAACAGGCAAACAGATATTAAAGTCAAAAAAATAAAACAAACAAAGTAAAGCGGAAAAATATTTAAATTATAATTCTTATTTTATTAACTTCATCATTTATATGGGTCTGACCCTCTTTAAATGTCCCTAGCAGAGTCGCCATCTGCCGCAACCCAAAAATTTTCGATCTCGCGACCTATGGTTTAGACATCCTTTCAAAGATCTCATCAATTAAGGAATGCCCGGACACCAGACTAATCCTTAATTAATGGTTTTAAAATATGAGTTCATGGAGTCGCCACCAATTTTTTACTCAAAACATTAGAAAAAGAAAATGTTTTTAAAAGTCCAATAATGGCCTTGATAACCAAAATTGGGTTCGGGGGTCGGTTACGTGTCGGGAAGGTATTAAGCACCCCTACAACGCCCTAAATTAAATCGGTACCCCTATGATGAAGATAACATAATAAGAATTAATAGTTTAAATATTTAATCCCCTTTATTAATGATTATTTACATGAAAATTAAATTACACGATGAACCCTAAAATATCTACATGATTGCATTTATTATAGCAATATATGAAATAAAAGAAGAAAAAGATAGAACAAGAGATTGATGAGTAATACCTCATAACAAGCTTTATTAGATCTTCAGCTATGGAGATTTTAGCTACTTTGCGGCAACCTTTCACACTACAATATGTCTCATAAAACTCAAGAAATACAATAGGAGAGAGAGAGAAATTTCGAGCTCTAAGGATTCTTGGACGAAATTTTTGAGGCCCT